AAAAAAAAAAAAAAGAAAATAACATATTTGTTTGACACATCACGTGTGTGAAGCGATTTCTTCATTCGTTCATTGATTTTTATCCAGGTTTTGATGCAGACTCATTTCAGTGTGTTTTGTTTGATCTGTTAGTGATGTTGATACTCGTAAGGATCACCGTAATAATTTTGAAAATAATTTCATTGATTCGATTATATTGTTATGACGGCATGTATGTATATGTATATACGTATATACAAATATATAAAACTATAATATAGCAGCATTTTTGCAATTGCTATGAATGAAATAGCATTTTACGCAATATATAATGACAGTATAATGTGATTTTATGAATTTTAAGTTGGGATTTTCATAAATTTTTTTTATCTAACTTTTAAAAAATCATTTGATGTAAATATAACCTTTATGAAGAAATTAACACTTCTTTGCCAATGTTTAATGTTTCACTGTATGTAACACAATATCAATGTCTTTTGTTAGATTTCCATTGATTTTTTTATCAGATTTATGGGTTAAAGAGCCTAAAAAATAAGTTTATCTGATAATAATATTTTTTCATAAAACTATATCATTAACTTGACATTATATAAATGTAAGTTGCTTTTACTCAATTTTTTTATGAAAATAATAAACTTTTTTGTACATTTAGTAATATATATTTAAAAAATTAATAGTACCTGTTTATTTATTACTTTGAGACGTATATTAGATTTTTGTATAACTTTGAATTCATACACATAAAATGTAATAAATTAATAATTCAGATGCCATTATATTTGTTGTTACGTGTTTGTTTCAGGAGAAGAAATTATTACTAACAATGGACCGTTTGTTGGAGGATCCACGTGCTTCATCAAAATTTGGTTGATAATTTCTAATACATCATGGGAACTTAAAAGAGACTTTGTTAAGTTCCCAGTATATGCCTTAGTGCTAGTGTTCTTTAATAAGCGTTAGATATAATTCTGCTTGACAGTGAAATATCTCTCATGTCGGAATGCCTTGAAAATGCAAGTGTAAACATTTTAACAATGATTTCTTTAAGCATTCGTGGAAACAGTGCATTTAGATATGTTCTGTTGATTTATATTTATCACATACTGTGAATAAGACTTTTTCTAATATGTCAGTGCAGTGTTTGTTACGTTGGATAATTCTATGAACCTCAGAGTACACATAAAGACACTGGACCTAATTTTAATAATATTTTTTGTCCAGGCTGTAATGCCAGAACAAGTCAAATTCAAGATGAACGGGGTTATACCGAGTGTGCCAATCACAACTCTCGCTGGTATCGCGAGTCTCACTGACTTGTTACCTGAAATGCCCCTTCCAACACCGCTGCCTCAGACTCTAACTAACAAGTCCCTTTTATTTCATCCAAGAGTGGCAGAGGAAGCACAAATATTGCTAAGTGTTCGCAATGAAAACTTAGTGCCGCAGTTAATATTATCTTTATCTCAAACCTCATCTGATCACATTGAACTGAAAGATAATTATGCAAATGCAGAACAGCCTTTGGAAACCGAGCAAAATACTCCGGAGTTACTTAAGGCAATTTTACAAATAAATCCGCATGTGTTTAAGGGCCCTCAATATAATTCACCGCGAAACTGGGCCCAAGGCACACCTATGATGCACACCAATCAAACATCCGCTAATTATGGGCGATTTTCACCATCTTACTCGAGTTCTTCAGGGTCGAGACAAACACCTCAAGGTAGTCCAGCTCACCCTGCTGCTGCTAGAACAGTGCTAGCGCCGCCTGCAGGCATAAACCCCCTACCCAACATGACCCCGCAACCAAATATGTATTCTCCGGCACATATGAGCTCTCCCGGAACACCGTTAACGACTCTCGGTAATGTAACACCTCAGCACCACAATATGGCTGGCATGACGCCTCAACATAATATGCATATGGCGTCTCCTATGCGTGCTAATATACCTTTGCCACAACATCAGCCCATTAATATCCAGCAAAATATGTACGATCCTTTAATGAATCAACAAGTACATCATCCATTAGGGAATCACCAACCAATGGACATAGACAGTACTGTGCAAGAAAATCAGCAGTTTTTACTCGATCCAGTCACAGGTCTTCCTGACATCGATATACCGATTGAAAACATCGAGGCGAAACAACAGAGTATGGATAACGCAACGCAACATCTGTTATCCACGACGCAAACCACATCTTATCCAAACATGGATACCAACAATATGGTAAATACGTTGAACACTACTACAGCGCCAATGATACAACATCAACAGAATAATAACTCAGAAAAGGGGATAAAAATGTCTGGCTCTTTGCCGGAGAAGTTAAAAGAGCCGATTGTCATGCTGGACAGATTATCCCTAGCAGATCAGGCTCTGATGCAGAAGAGTTTAACCGCGTTCGCCGAGAAGTCGCCGAGCCGGGCCGCGAAGATGGGCATTTCTAATCGCGAGGATGCGAAGTCCGACTCCGAGAGCGAAGAGGAAATCGGTAAGAACAATAAATATTTCAAAGCGCGCGCGAAAGAGCGTCAAGTTCAAAGGGAAAAGGAGAAGGCGGAGAGGAAGAAAAGCGAGGATAAGATGCGTAGACGAAAAAGGGTAACAGACGACGACGACGAAGAGGACAAGAAGGAAGTTTTCTCACCGACAAAACCAAAAATCCGGAAGATAGAAAAGAAACTCGTTCCTGTTTTGGCTAAACTTAGCGTGGAGGAGCTAATGGAAACTAATACGTACCAGCGTTTCAATACAACCATAGAAACGATATTCGAGAACACAGAAGACGTAGCAACCAATGCCGAATTATTAGAAGACGACGATGATGTGCCTCCAGAATTATTAATTCCTAAATATCAGTTACATGATTTATGCACGGAAGCGGCCAAGTTGAAAGCATTAGGAGCGATGGAGTCAATCCCAGCAGACAGATTGGTTAGACTGTTGAATATTTTGGAGAAAAATATTCGAGACGGAGCCAAAGTGTCTCCGCTGGCAGATCCAGACGACGATGTCGATGAGAGTCGATTGTGGACCCAGCTGGCCATGGAAAGAGTTCAACGCGCCGTGGACGCGTCTTTAATTGCTCTGCACATAATGACGTCTAGCAATATGCCAAAAATGGTCTACCTAGAGGACGTGATCGACAGAATAGTCCTTTTCATGAAGTTTCAGTTGCAGAATACTATTTATCCTTCATTCGATCCAGTTTACAAGATAGACACGAAAAATAAGACTGACAATTATAATTCTAGTGGTCGTAAGAAAAGAGGTCACATGAAAGAGGTCCGCGAGAAAAGTATTCTCCAGGTGTACAATAAAATGCACGAATTGGTTGGTCTCCTTGCTGAATTATTAAACATTCAGGTACTAACAGATACTAGCGTCCTTCATGCCTCTACACTAGGCGTTGCACCATTTTTCGTCGAGTCCGTTAGCGATCTTCAATTGAGCGCATTAAAATTGGTCACGGTAATATTTACCAAGTACGAGAAGCATAGGAGATTGTTGTTGGACGATATTTTGGCATCTATAGCACGACTTCCTAGCAGCAAAAGGAGCTTGAGAACGTACAGGTTAAATTCCGAAGATCACATACAGATGTTGACAGCGTTAGTCCTACAGTTGATACAATGCGTTGTTGTTCTGTCTGACAATATGCTGCCGCAACAGAAGAAATCACAGCAGGAGGACGAGGAGAAGAAGGAAGAGAAGAAGCTCAATTACGTGGATGCAGACGTTCTGATCATAAACAAATACGAGACGGCCACCAGAATAGCAGGGAATTTTTTAACAGTGTTCCTGAACAAGTGTGGCAGCAAAGGTGAGGAAATTGATTACAGGCCACTGTTTGAGAATTTTGTGCAGGATCTGTTGGCCACTGTCAATAAACCGGAATGGCCAGCAGCTGAGCTGCTGCTGAGTTTACTTGGAAATCTGCTGGTGGGTCATTTTTCCAATAAGAGCTCAGACATGGCGCTCAGAGTGGCCTCCATAGACTATCTAGGCGTTGTGGCGGCCAGATTGCGAAAAGACGCGGTAAGCTCTCAGTGTAAGCTATCTACCATTGATCAAATTATAAAGGATATCAAAATTGAGCAGCAAAAGGACTCTGATTACGACCAGGTGAAAGATAAAGAGATAGTTGGTCTAAGCGAAGACGAGGAGCGGACGGTTTTTTTACAGAAAGTACTGCTAGATTATTTGGCTGTAAACGGAACCAAGGATTCTGCGCTGGGCTATGCCCGCCATTTTTATCTAGCGCAATGGTACAGGGACTGTGCGTTGGAAAAATCCAGGGTTGGCCAGACAAAGAACAGCCCTAGCAAGAAGATACACAAGAAGAGGGTGAAAAAGAAGAACAAGCATCACTCGAGCGATCAGGATTCAGAGTCAGAGTTGGACGAGCCGGATGCCGATGAGAACGACAATAACGAGCAGAAAAACTCAGAGGCGTACAGAATCATAGAGGAGAAAAAGAAATACATTATAAGTAGAATAAGGCCGTATAGTACTGGCACGAAACCGGATATTCTTCAGACCTATATCGATTATAATTCAGCGGAGCTGATATCGCAGTATCTCGCATCGAAGAGGCCATTTTCACAGAGTTTCGATCGATACCTGAAGCAGATCCTGCACGTGCTCACCGAGTCGTCCATTGCGATCAGGACGAAAGCTATGAAGTGTCTGACGATGATCGTCGAGGCGGATCCGAGCGTCTTGGCGCGGGTGGACATGCAATTGGGCGTGAAGCATTCGTTTTTAGATCACGCAACGTCTGTGCGCGAGGCGGCCGTCGATCTGGTAGGAAAATTTGTATTAAGTAGGCCCGAATTAATAGATAAGTACTACGACATGCTATCAGCTAGAATACTAGATACTGGTGTTAGCGTTCGTAAGCGTGTGATCAAGATTCTGAAGGACATCTGCATGGAGTGTCCCGACTTCCCGAAGATACCGGAGATCTGCGTGAAGATGATCAGGCGGGTAAACGACGAGGAAGGTATTAGAAAATTGGTTATGGAAGTGTTTCAGAATATGTGGTTCACGCCGGTCAGAGAACGTCCCACGTTGGATTCCGAGTCCTTGTTGAGGAAGGTTATGAATATCACAGACGTCGTGGCAGCTAGCAAAGATATGGGTCTAGAGTGGTTCGAACAGCTGCTGGTTAGCTTGTTCAAGCCCAAGGAGGATAAAGACGATAGTACAAAGATGCTAACCGAGCCGCCGAAGGCACTGTTGACTGCGTGTAAGCAGATCGTCGACTGCTTGATCGAGAACGTCCTTCGACTGGAGGAGACGAATCTGGAGGAGTCAGAGAAGTCGGAGAAGAAGGGATCCTCCCAGAGATTGGTCGCTTGCTTGACAACCCTGTATCTTTTCGCGAAGATACGACCGCAATTGCTAGTCAATCACGCGATCACGTTACAGCCTTATTTGAGCTTGAAGTGTCAAACGCAGGGCGACTATCAGATCATCAGCAGCGTGGCTCACACGTTGGAATTAGTCGTGCCGTTGATGGAACATCCGAGCGAAACTTTTTTAGCACAGCTCGAAGAGGACTCGGTTAAATTAATCTTGCAACATGATAGGTCAGTCGTGGCCAGCTGTCTCTCCTGTCTAGGCTCTATAGTGAACAACGTAACTAGAAATTTTAAATTAATACGAGACTGTTTTAAGAAATATTACGGACATCTGACTGAGTACAAATCCTTTTACGAGAAAGATCCTACGAATCCTATGCTTTTGAAGTATCGGCCATTTGTCAGAAGGGCGTTGTTTACTGTCGGCTTGTTGCTCAGGCACTTCAACTTCACCGACCCCGAGGTGATCGAGGGACTGGCAGAGAATATAAAAGACCAGGTATTCGAAACGTTAAACTATTTCGTGCATCTGGATAACGACGACATTCGACATTTTACTTTATCCGCCATTGGTTCTCTATGCATCCGCCATTATGAGTTTATGTTGCTTCCCGAGTTAAAGGAATTGTACCATCATTTGCTCACATCGGAGAACGCGTTGGTTCACATGAGGATTCAAGTCCTGAACAATATTGAGGTTTACCTGCAAGAAGAGGACAAACGGATGATCAAACAGGATATGGAGTGGGCGAAAATGTCCAAACAGGAGAACCTGAAAGAAATGGGGGACGTGTCGTCAGGAATGGCTAGCACGGTAATCCAGTTATACGTAAAAGAGATCCTAGAAGCCTTTCTGCACGTAAACGTCAGCGTTAGACACGCGGCGCTGAAGGTGATCCAGTTGATCCTGGCCCAAGGTTTGGTCCACCCGGTCCAAATAGTTCCCTATTTGATCTGCATGAGCACAGATTGCGAGAAGGCAGTGAGTCACAGTGCGGACAAGCAACTTCAGGATATCGAGAAGAAGTATCCAGGCTTCATCCATATGAAGTCCCAGCTGGGCATTAAGCTGAGCTATCGACTACAAAAGATCCTGCAAAATGACATGACAGTAAGAGGAATGCGAGTGAAGGACGGCGAGTTCCCTGGCGCGCTAAATGGTTTCCTGTACACTATCCTGAGAAACACGAAGCAACAAAGGAGAGCCATCGTCCTGTCCTTCCTGAAGCAGTTCGACGAGTCTGCAAAAACAAGCTTATCGCAGATGCTCTACTTGGCTGACAACCTCGCTTACTTCACATATCAAGTGCAAGACGAGCCTCTGTTCATCATCCATCACATCGACATTATCATCTCAATGTCTGGTACAAATTTAGTGCAGTCGTTCAAGGAAGCCCTGTTACCGAAAGAAGGTAGCAGCCAGTCTCAATTGCATCATCAACAGCACCATCACCACCAGCAGCAACAGCCGCAGCAACAGCATCATCATCATCATCATCATCATCATCATCATCAGACTCATTCGACTCTGGGACTGGACGGGCAACCGCGACCGGAACAGCTGTTATCGGCACTCGAAGACGAAGAAGACGACGAAGAGGACGAGGACTCGCTGTTGGCGAGATTACCAGGAGACACGACGTTGCTAAGGGACTACATCACCGCCAGCCAAGGTTTCCTGCTGCTGCTGACGTTGAGGCAGCACTTGAAAGACCTGTACGGCTTCTCCGACCAAAAGATCGGCCAATACTCGCCGACGGAAGCGGCGAAGGTGTACGAGAAGGCGGTGAACCGTAAGAGCAACTTGCTGTTCAAACCAAAGGCTACCCTGCAGAGACTGAAGGAGGGCGTGAACAACGCCGAGCTGGACGCCGACGGCAGGAAGAAGCTGGTGAAAGAGTACTTAGACTTCAAACAATTGATGCTGAAGTTCGACCTGGAAGAGCCGGAGGAAGATGGGAACGAAGGTGACACGAGCGGAGGCAAGCACTCCATGGACATTAAGATGACGAACTCTGACACGGACATGACGAAGATGACGCACGTGGGGATGGCGAATCCTCAGGGCATGGTAAACCAATACCCTGGTAACCTGAACTCCTCGATCGAGCACCCGAACAACTCGGTGAACTCGATGGCCACCGGCGGCGGGCCCATACCGGTCGCCATGCCGGTCGACGCGCCGCCCCCGCAGGCCCCGATGAACGTCGCCGCGTCGCAGATGGCTGCGCCGCGTGTGCCCAAGCTGACGATACACGCGCACCACGGAACGGAGGGCGCGAAGGAACACCGCAAGCATCGGGCGCACAAAACCGAGAAGATCAAGAAACACAAGAAGAAGAAGAGGAGAAGAATCTCCGACAGCAGCGAGAGTGGCGAGGACTACAGTGATCCTGACTTTTTAGTGTGAGTGCGGTGGTGTATGCCCGCGCTTAACGTGTACATAATTATATTACTACGTAACGAGACCTCTGAAATAACGATAACTTGACGCGTGTTTCGCGTGGCTGATGATGTGCGTGCTGGTGTGCGTGCGGCGTTTTTTCTTTTTTTTTTTTTTTTTTTTCCCCCCTCTTTTCTTGGTGCGTTTTCCTGTCGGCCGTGAATGAA